TTACCTTGCAGCAGGAGAGCTTCACCCTTCTCTTACTTTCTTTAGAAGACCTAAAATCACTGCAGACTTGTGTAGCAAGACAGAAAAGCTGTGTCTCATGATGACAGACTGGACTATTCTGCTAACTTTTACCTGCAGTGACAGGCTTAATGTATATCAGGACATAGCTTACAAAGAATGACAATCTTTTTAATAGATCACATACTGAGTCACAAGCTACATATTCAATAGAAAATCAAGCTAATTGCTTACATCTTCTAAGATATCCCTGAAGGATAATCGAACTCTGCAGAGCTGTTTCTTAGTTGAAAACTAAATAATTAAGCTGAAGAAATGCATTTCTCTTTCAAGTTTCTCTCTATATTTTCTTTTATTTTTCTTCATACCAAATACAACAGCATAAACATAAGCTATTGACTTTAATTAAAAATTAAAATTAGATCTAGCTCTGTTTTGTTAAATCCACAGCTGAAAAAACAAAAGAGACTGTCAAGACAGAAAAAGAAAACATTGCAACCTTCCTGTCAGTTCTCATCCCTACCCACTTACCCTGCAAATTGTAAACATGCTGTGCAGCAGCTTGTGCCTACATGTAACTCAAGAGTCTTCAGCGGGATTTACTGCACGTGGACTTCAGCTCCTAACAGCAGCTGTATGTGATATAAATAAAGAAATGGACAGTGCCATAACATGATAGATTTCCGAAGCCCCAAAATTTATAGGAATCTTCTTTATTAATTGAATCTATTACTGGCTAATTGCTTATGTACTGTAAATCTGCAAAGGTCAATTCTTGAAATCACCAAACAATGAGAAGGTATGAAACACTAACAAGCCCTAACACAGTGGGAATGTTAATCAATAATCTAAATGAAGCCTTGTATTGCCAATGATGCATGAAAATGTATTATTGTTAGGGACTACAAGCATAGGCTTCACAGAAAGCAATAAAATAAAAAGGCATGTATTTTGAGAGCAATAAAGTATAAACACTATCTGTAAATATTGACTGTACAATGAGCTTTTTCAAAAGAGCATCTTAAAGAAATAAGCTATTTCACGGAGAAGCTTCTTGCAAAAAAAAAATAAAAGGAAAAAGAGTGCTGATGCAACAAAGAAATACATTACAAAGGCCAATTCTGAATTATATGGATGTAAGAGGAGAATATGTTTATACATATTAAATACTGCATTCTCAACATATGTAAGCGAGTATTTATATCCATTAAACTTTCATAAAATTGCTTATAAACCTGCAGTCTCACCCCAGACAGAATCCTACAGCTGCTCCATTCAAACAAACATGCTGCAAGGACAGAGTTACTGCAGATGTTCTTGGCTGCAGGAGGAAGCAGACTCCTTGCCCGGGGGCTGCTCCATTGCATTGCTTTATGCTCACTGAGAACATTTCTGCCTTCCCAAGTTTCTAACTGGCTTGGACAAATATTAAGGGAAAATGGTGTTTGAAAACCACCTCTGAATTGTAAAAGGCTGCAGAATAATGTTCTGTTTGGAGGAGCAATTTAGCTTTATTAAGCAGCATGACATAGTCTAAGTGAGCAAAGACAGCTTTGTACAGTGCGTTGCAGCAGAGTCAGCAGCAGAAGCCAATCAGTCTAGAACCTGATCACAGAGCTGCGCTGACACGCTGCAAGGAAAGGTGTTAAAAAAACCTTCTCACTTACTCATCTAGCAAGCTAGACACTCCATTTCACCTCTGATATTATTGGAGGAATTTCTCATGGCAGCAGAGCTTTGGCAAAATATACTTCTGAGAAAATATTTGTGTGCTTCTCTGGTCTCATTCAACCTCTTTGCCAAACTGCCAGTTGTGAAGGTTGTTTCACTTGCACGCTGAAATGTTAGAATGTATTTCACAAGCAGAGTAGACAGCACTTACTGTGAAATCTCTTTTTTTTATTTTCCTGCTGGTAGGAAAATAGAATATTTAAAACCAGTTGGGAACCTAAAGAGTTAGACATGCTACAGGCAAGTCTGAAATTGCTATTATAAAAAGATCCATTAGCAGGTTTGATCTGAGCAAGGAGGGTGTGCTAGTTTACTGTATTAATCTGATTTCTTCCCAACTAAATTCTCATGAATTTTAGAAGCATTGAATTAGTGGAATCTGGTTTTCAGGGCCAGGCATGGATACTGGCAACAGTCATATAATAATGTAGTCTTATGTTTTAGGCAGAAAAAGGGAAGCATTATTCTTTCTGAACATTTCCTTCCTCTTCAAATCTTCAGATACTCTGCTTTCTCTAAGGTCATTGCATGAATTTAAGATACACCAGTCTGGAAACTAAATTAGCCCTCATTTACTGGGAAGTTGAATGCAGCCAGACTAATGGTGGTGCAAATATAATTGGTTCCCAACATGTGTCAGTGTGTATACTCCTCAAGCCACGGAAAAGATGCATTATGGGACTAATTTTTAAATGTTAATGGATATTGGATGTTTGCCAGACACCCAGCTGTGCACAAAACATTGAGATGGTAAATAGCTCTTGATCTGTTTAGAAACAAATTATAATGGCTGTTTGGATTCCACATGACTGAAGGCATGGTAACCAGCACACGCTCACAGACTGACCCTATTAACTGCACTAAGGGGAATGTGCCGATTTTAAAAATCAAAATAAGAGACATAAAATAAGGCTATTAAGATGCCATTTAAATTATTTTAGATTAATATTAAACAAACAAAATCCCAACAACAATCCACAGCACCTGTTACCACTGCCTACATGAACCAACTTATTTAAAGGAGCTTTTTTTCTAGGTTTCTTTGGTAGGAGGTCAAAAAGAAAATGCTTTAATCACTCAATTTTATTCTAAAGCTGAGATCTGAGTGAAAAGCTTATCTGCACTTATAGAATAAAATCTCTCCTGCCGCATATCAGCAATGGGTCTCACTGAGATGCACCAGGGAACAAGACCTCGCTTCATTTGATGTGTAGTTCTCATAATTTTAATTTAAAGTCTATGAATATCAGTATTTGCAGGAAATTCTCTGCTTGAAATGTCTTACTAATTGTATTCATTTGGTCAGTAAAGCCCAATAGGGAATTTTTACTCAGCTGGATTAGGTGCTTTTGATTACTATACTGTAGCATTAGCAGAAAGCATCACTTCACAACAGAAAACAGTGCTGCTCTGCCAGCTCATACTTCCTCCACCATTGTGAACAGGCAAATCAGAACTACCTGACATCCCACAAGAGCAAAAAGATGAAAACAAACTTACTGTTCATTCCTCAACCTGGATAGGGTCTAGAAGGAGCACACCCATAGCCACGTGCAATTCACACCTTTAAAATTTTTTAATATATTCCATCCCAGCTGCGAACAGACAAACAACCAGGACTTCTCTTTCCTAGGAAATCTCTGATTCAACATCAGGATTCACACAGCATGACTACTTCAAGGACCAAGCTATACTTTTTAGTTGTTACTATAAATTTGAAATAAATCCAGCAGCATTCAGAATTTGAACGACCTGCATCCAAACTGTGTTTTCACGGATGAGGAGCAACTTTGGTAGAGTACTTTGCAAAATCTTTTACTTGCATAACTTGTTTCCATTTCTTTTTAGTGTAATGAGATTTCATGATGAAAGCCAAATACAATCTAGTATAGCAAAAGTGCATGTTACACTGATCCTAATAAGCCCAATGAAAATCAATAGTGCTGCTAGTTTCCCTGAAATCAGCCTACATAAGCTCCAAGCACCGTGTTCTGCCTAAAGCAGAGAATTAGCAGCTTACATAAGACAGATATTTCCTAGCAGAAAATCTGAAAATAACCACACTTGAGGGAAAATAGTTGTTACAAAAAAACCTCCAAAAATATGGAGATATTTGTCTCCTGTCCTTAAACTGTGGGTAAAGAATCAGTTACCTTTTCATCCAGCTTCCACGCAAGGGACACGTTGACTGTAGCCTGCAGGAGGGTGAGCCCCTGGGCCCTGGCTCCTCTGTCCCCTGTAAAAGAACAACAGCATTTTTCACTCATTTGCTGAAGAAGGTTGAGAAATTTTGCTCTGAAAGCAGAAGCCCCATTTTCTCTGGCATAGAAATGAGGATTATAATGAAATTGGGATAAAAGTCAAGCACACTGTAGCAAGGAGCAGTATTAAAAATGCAGGGTACCTGCTGCAATCAACTTTGACAAGGTGCATGCATCATCTATGACATTTCACTCTTTCTGTTTGTAGCTTGCCCTGCATTCAGTAATGGGAAATACTGAGTTCAGAGGGGAAGAGGGCAGATCTGAGAGCAAAGACAAGAAAATGCAAATATCAGAAGACTGAAACAGACAGTTCATCTATATGTTTAGTCATATATAGTGTATTTCAGAGCAATACCCATCATTATGTAGATTTTTATACTGCATGTATTTCAAATAACATTCTTCTTTGAAGTTTGCTTCTTCTTAAATAAGATAATAAATGTAGGAAGCTTAAAATATAATTTCCATTGCATTAGTAAGCCGGTTTTATTTCATGTAAGAAAATGTTTCTCTGTAATGATCTACCTTATGAATGACCTGGGGAAATAATTTCAGGTTTCTTTAAAATACAACCATTTGTTTCTTATTGGTGAGTTCAATTTTACTAAAAGTTAAAGAGGGAACAGCGACAGCCTATTTGCAATATTGGATAGCCAAAGGTGCAGAATTATTTCCAGTTTACTACTAAAACAATATTTAAATAATTCAGCACGCAGTTGCTGTATTTTTTTTAATGATGTGCTATTAACAGGTTGACAGATTTGCAAGTGTGAGGCATGTTATGAAAATTTTGCATTAGGAATTTTTTACAGGAGTGAATGTAAGCACAAGCTTTTATTTTTGTGTAATGTTTCCATTAGAAAGTCTTTCCTCAGGACAAGAATATATTGAATTTCTGCAAGTGTATAACTCCATGTAAGTAGGATATTTGCATTTATTTACCAAATGTAAGTAGGATAATTCTGAATAAAATGATTGTATATACAGACCTCACATATGTAGCATATAGAAATATGTACCATGGATACACTGGAAATGTACTTCTCCCTTTGACAGGAGGATGGGGCATGGCTCATTCTGCCTAGTTCAGAGGTTGTAACAGCTTATGCCTGTACATCACAGGTGTACAGTACTGTTGCTATGGAGACTGGCTCAAATGAGCAGGAAATTTCATTTTGATAAAGTTCTATTCTTGGGCAGAGGAAGAAGGCTCTATATTCAGCATCACATATGGCATTTTTTTAATGCCTGAGACACATTCTGTAGAAAAAAACAGACTTCAAAGGTGAGCTGTATTCTCCCCTTGTGGTGTTGGCACCTGTACACAGCACCTTGGGAGTGGGTGGTGCAGCTGGGAACATCCATGTGACAGGACTGTGTCCCTGCCCTGTGGAGCCCAGGGCAGGCAGAGGGGCCAGAGTGTGGGCAGCTGCCCTGGGGCACGCATGGACCTGCTGCTCAGGCAGCAATGGCACAGTGCTGCCTGGGAATACAGCCAGGCTTTGCTCAGCTGGAAAGGGGAACATTTATTTCAGGTGAAAAGTTTCATTCATTCTAGCTTATGCAAGGACATTAAATTTTGTTAATCAAAGAAATCTGACTTCTTCAAAGGGAAGAACCATTCTGTGAAGGTATTTCCAAAGCAAGCAATCAAAACAATGTCTTGAAAGCAGTGAAATTAAATATTGTCACTTTTTCCAGCTCCCCACACAGCAGGATTTATCCACTCTATCAATTCACTAAAGCTGACAGAAATTTGCTAAACAATTCCACAGACCAGAACCTGCATTTTTCAGGGAAAAGAGGATTTGACTGAAAGCTGCCACCCAGTTCTCCTCACTAAAGATAAAGACAAGACAATTATCACTGGGCTGGGAAGCATCTGAAGTTGTTGTCTCTTCTTTTTCTTTACCCTCCAGTTCCCTGTAGCACCCTGTGCCACCCAGGGACATTGAAGGGTGGGTTTCCAGCCAGGGGACAAGTGGCCGCTGCTTTCTCAGTTTTCCACCTACAGAAGGGACAAAATCTAGTATTTATGGGAAAAGACAACAGGGGATTAAAGCAGGGGTCATGGACCAACAGGGGACTGGGGCTGGCCCAGGGTTGCAGATGAAGCAGTGTAGCCTCTGGCCTGGGATTCACATGTCTCAGCAGGGAGCTGGCTGGGGGATTTGGAAAGCAAGAAACCAGATTATCTCTGTGGGTTGAAATCTCAGGAAAAGTTTTTCGCTCATTTGGCAGACAAAGATCAGGAGGTATCTTTGGCATGGGGGTTCTTGTTTGTTTTCTGGGTTTGGGTTTTTTCTGTTTTGGTTTGATATTTATTTTTTTATTTTCTTTTTAAATCTTGATATTTGAAAGCCCCTAGCTATTTGCATCTAGCAGGCTTAGGCAAACAAAACATTGTTTGGATCATGGGGGTTTCTTCTGCACTAATTTGTAATAAAAATTATTTAAATATTCAATAATTTACTACTATTCCTACATGATGTGTAATGTTTGGAAAGTACAGAATATTAAAAGCCTTTTACCTCAGAAATACCTTTCCTTAAGCTAACTAGTGTTTCACTCAGGAAAGCCATGGTGAAATAAATTCTGCTTCTGGCATATATTAAGGACTAGCCATTGCTGAGAAGGCCTGTTGGCAAAACTGAGCCCTTAGCTATCACGTCTTTTCCTAAACTATACTTAACTTCCATAAATAACTGATGAGTTGGAATCTCCTTTTGCACCTCAATATTGTGCTCTTTTATTATAAGAAAAATCTATTTCATACTGCAATAATATCACTTACCACAATAAGATAAGAGGATTCGCTTCTCCCTTGTCCCCTCCTGAACCAAGCACCCAGACTCCAGTAAGATAAAGAAAAGCCAAAGAAAGTGAAAAATATCAATAAAGTTACACTGGTGAATTGAAGTACTTACTATCTTGGGGGGAAAACCTGTTATTAAAGAAAAAATACCTGAGATAGTGTCAGGCAATGTGACAATGACGATGTCATTACTAAATAGGACTCTTTGGTCCCTTAGCTGTCAATAATTAATACATTATTTACACTTGCACATTCTCATTTCCCAGCTTTCAAGATTTCATTTACACTCTGATCCTTTGCTTAGCAGCAAATTTAACATCATTGTGACCTTCTTCTGCCTGACGATATACACCTATCAAGCAAAGAAAGAGAATAGCATCTAATATGTGCATTTATTAAAGCAGAAAGCTGGAAGAAGTGACAAATGCCAGTGTTTGCCACAATAAACTGGAAGAGAAACAAATTGCTCCCAAAGAAAAATCAATTAAGAAGCCATTTTAATAATACTGTTTCTGGGAGCCTCAGCATTTGCATGTTTTACAGGAAAGTATCTGAAGTGTTTCTAATTAAAACCCAAAGGAATCAGCAAACTTAGGAAAACCATACCACAAACTGCAGACAACAATCTTATGTTAAAGATACACCATTCTGACCATCTGAAATTAAAATACTCTGTTAGGTTGCAATAGCATTTTTCTCATGATGATGAGGACATTCATCCATTCCTAGGAGAAACAAAGTCAGATGGTCATATGAGATGGAAACTGCCATTACATCACAGTGTACTTGAATGTACATATTTATTTAGTATAAGAATATGCAAACTATCTGCATAAAATTAAACATATGTCGAAAATGTGCTGTAAGCAAGGATTGCCAGAACATAGCTGACTGGGGTAATCCTTTTGAAGTCAGTGCCAAGTCTCATGTTTTTCTGCTTCAAAAAACAAGTATTCAGCACCTATCCTGGCCCACTGGGGACACTGGATGATTTTGAATGGGGAATACCACAGAAATTTGGAGTTTGGGCTTTCAGGGAATTTTTCTGTTGGCTTCAGTGGATTTTGGAGCATATCCTCAGTGCAATAAGAAATTACTAGGAGTAAGAACAGCAACACTCCTACTCCAAAGAAGGAAGAGCTAAGAAAAGGACATAACCCAGAGGTGGATTTCCACATGCAGGCATTCTACCAAACCATTAAATTAAATCCCAAAGAAGTTACTTTGCCTGGTTCTGGTTGTGTAGAATTTATGGTCATCATTTAAAACACCCTATTCCAAGTCTATAGAAATCTAAAGCTCTGCTCTTAATTTCTAGTACCTTTGCAGAAGGGGGCTGTATGCTCTCAGCCAAGCAGGCACTTCCTCCAGCTGGAGTTTGCCTGCACCGCCACACCAATGGGCTCATGTCCGGCAGAAGAGACAATTGCAACAGCATGACAACTTGAGGGTTAACCATACCACTGCCTCTCGGTCTCTTCAAGCACCTCTGCTGAGCAACTACTGCAGTTCTTGCACTTCTCTGTGATGGGGATGGCATCCTTGTTAATCATACAGAGGCCCAGCTGGATTTGGCACTTTCTGAAATTTCATCTCAAGAGCTGTAATCAGAGGGAAAACACAGACACGCCGGACAGCTTCTACAAAATGCTGTACCATCTGCTGGACCAAAAGGAGCACACCAGCCAGGAGGAAGTGTTGAAGTGATGTAAACATGTTGTCTTAGTTAAGGTTGGGCTTTCTCACTGTGTTTGGGCGCTATGGATGTGGAAATCCACCAGAGACTAACTGAAACCCCAGTTCATCTATGCACAAACAACAACCAGTCCAACAATGCCATAATTTGATTTCAGCAATAACCAGCTTCCACTTTTCTCTTGTATAGCCAGCAGTCAGTTGTCACTGTCAAAGCTTTGTAAAATAGGGAGGGTTACATTAAAGACATTACTATAAACCACTCCAAAGTTAATATGCAATAAATTGCTTTACCATTGCATGACATATTGACTCCAGTTTCTACATCCCTGTCTCATGTTCGTCATCAGCTGGTGATCTCCAGTTGACACTGGAGTGGGCACATGTTGTTATTGCACCCTTGGGGCCTGCCACATCCTACTGTCCCTCTCTCTCCAGTGAGCTTTACAACAACTGATTGCTACAATGCCATAAAAATTAGTTAATATTCAACAAAAGGGAGTGCATGCATTATTTTGCACTCTGAGAGTTTAGTATTATTTGCTGCAAATAAAAATTTCCAGGATTAATTCCTGCACACCAGTTCTTAGCCAGGAACACAATATATTGGTTGAATTGTGGTTTCTTGTTAGCAACAGAGATTTTACAGCAGAAGCCCAGGCACAATCTTTATGATGGAGGAGCAAACAGTATTGCAGCCACTCTGCCATAAAAAGTAATAATTTCTGGAAGACGGTAACACAGTAAAAATTCCTGGTTGCAGACTGGATTCAAATTGGTGAGTACCCAAATGTGTCCAAATGCCACCCAGCTGCAAGAAGATCTGGTCTGAATTCCTGAGCTATTATGGGAATACAGTGTTAATGAGACATGCTGGATTGATGGCATCTGCATGCAGATTCTTTCTTGCTTGCAATACAATGACTGCCCATGGAAATCACAGTGTAAATTTCACTCTGCTGTCCATTTCTGTAACTCACTCCTTCACAAGTGATGGGCCAGCTTTATTTAGTAGGTTAAGAAAATGTGTTGTGCTCTCAGTACAATCGTTCTTTGTTTCTATTTGCTCTCATTTTTACCATTATCAAAAATAGTAGTTATAAAAAATGAAGAGTTTTGCAATCTGAATAATTTGAAAGAAGTTTTCTTCACTCATGAGCTTACAAGGAGAAAGTCTAGCTCTTCTTTCACCATTATGCACCCCTGTGACTACTCATTACTTTGTTTTTCTAAGTGCTGACCTAAAATTCAGCCAGACAAGAAAGGACCTGGCAGAGCCCATCATTTACTAGGAAGCTCCCTTGTCTTTCTTGCCAATACCCTGAGCATAAGTTTGGTAGGAAAAAATCAGATGCAATATTTACTTCCAATTGGGCAAAACCATCCCTAAACCATCCCCTCCAGGATATATTTGTCAAATGTGGGAAACTGAAAAGCACAAGAAATTCAACACTGCAACTTCTCAGGTTCTCATTCCCATACAGGCAAAGAAGAATAGACCAAAAAAATGCAGCTGTGTTGATTTTTTGTTTTCAGGTTTTTTGAAAAATCATCATCACCAGACCCAAAAGCTCCAGTATTCTCCAGGAGATAAGGAGGACCTGACTAATCTGTTCAGCCTGTATCCTGTGTGTTTTTGCTTTTCACATGTGCAGATATAAAAGACCCTGAGATTTCCAAGACCAGCCAGAGCAAGTCCGTACAGCCACAGCTCCAGAGTGGCTGTGCAGGTGGGCAGCAAGGGAGCTCCCTGCCCTGGGTTTCACCTCAGAGAGGCAAATGGCAGAAAGGAAAGTGCAGCCTTCACCCTATGCACCCTCTTGGCTCTCTCCACCGGGATGGCAAGAGCAGGGGAGCTCTGCTGCACCCTGCGTGCCTGAGGACTGATGCCAGAGGAAAAGGACAGTTCCATGGGCTTCACTGGAGGTCGCTACTCCAGTGGGTGAGCTGAACTGAGCTGAACCCTCAACTCCTTCGGCTAAAATAGGAGATAATATGCCAGACACTTTTGAGGACATAGGTTTGAGTAGCTCTGTTTCTGCTTCATAACATGGGAGTGCTACACGCTACAGGTGAGTTCATATATCGCTTGGAGGAGAAACTCATTGATGTGTGAAGCACTGAGGAGGAAAGGCTGTACAGAGAGCTGCTGCTAGGAAACCTCGCTGAACACTCTCCACCAAATTATGGCTTTTAGATTATTTTTTGTTTTGTTTTGTCTTGAAGATAAGAGGGCACGGAAGCAGCTTTGGTTTTATATGGTCAGGCTTGCTGGTTTTGATAGTTTTGGAACATAGCTGCTGATACATTAAGAAAATACAATTTGGCTGTGCCAGCCCACGCTGTGTGCCAGTCTGTTGTGTGGGGGTGGGTATGGATAAGGATCACAAGGCAAATGGGAACTGTGTGTAAAACTCTGGTAACTTATCTCCAGATGAGGAGTTTATGTAAATTACCATTAAAGCCTTTAGTCTTGTTTGCTGATAAATTTATAGACATTAGCATCAAGGTAGCAATCAGGATTCATCAGCTTTAGTTTTTTATAACCTGTTCGTCTCTGATAACTTCTCTCTTCGAGTGACATACTGTAACATTGTGCAGTATTAAATGATATGCACAAATAAGTACCTAATGGTAGATTTAAAGATCTTGCAGCAGTCCAAGTTCTTTCATTTTCCTGATTATAATGGCATTTGCATAATGTATGAATTCAAACATTATTGCTGTTAAATAATGCATAAATATTCTCCCATGCTGAAATACATCTATTTCTTCTCCATGAATTATTTTGAATGTATCATTCAGTTGTTTTTCTATTTTAAAATGTAGTTAGAACTCTGCATATATCAGTATTATGACTGGAAGAAGTACCATCACAAGTAGTTCCAAACCATCACAAGCGAATGCTCCAAACTGTAAATGAAGTATACATTATTAAATGGGCCATCTCCCTCCTTCTTCAGAAAGCATTATCACCAGAATACAATATTTAGTATTTTTGAAATGTCAGAAAGAAATGCAGGTACATATTTGATTATCTGGCAGGGCTTAGGAAAGAAAAAAAGAAAAACAACATTTTGCTCCCCAACCTGAAGGGAATATGAACATGGTCATATATAAAGAGAGATAAATCTGTAAGTGATTGTGTGAGTTCTTGAATAGCTCTTTGTGAAACTGAGCACCATCAACACCCGTTGACTTCCAATCCCATATCCCCCAGATGATGGACCCTTTTATTTATATTTGATTTTATAAAATGTGCCATCCAGAAAACTCTTAGATAAATCCTGCCAACACTGTCACAAAAGTCAGCTACATCAATGACAGATGACAGGATGAATGAAAGGACTTCAGGATTCAAGTATCTAAACATGAACACGAAAAAATTTAACTCAGTGCACAACATTTAACAATAAAAATGTCAAAATGAAAATAACATTAAATGTATGTCACCCCTGGGTCTATAGCCCAGCTGAAATGGCCAAATAAAGTAAGGAATTTAATAAAACCCCAAGGACTCAAAAGTATCTTGTATATTTGCTTACTTAAGAAATATGCAAATGCACAGTTTTGCCTGCTTCACCCTAGTGTCTTTTTCCCCTGATTATGCCACTCCATACCTTTGTTATGAAATATCTGCTTTTTGCAACTTCAGTGCCTAAAAGACTTAAGTATTGACTTATAATTGTATTGCCTCTCTTTCTTCCCTCCTCTAAAATTGGTGGCTTTTAAAAAAATTACTTTTTACTTACAGTGTAGACATGACTCAGTGTTTCAATTTGGACCCTAACTTGCTGGATTTTCTTGTCTCAGTCAATTTTCCATTTGGCAAAGGTAGGAAATAATCAAGTCTCCAATAAATATAAACTTTTTCTAAAGTGTGTCATATTTTATGATTTGTCATTATAATGCTAAACAGTATCTGCTTCATCAGTGCCACCACTGTTACTTTACCCACATAAACCCACATACCTATATACACATATGTGCAAAGAAATAATTTACTCTGTCAAACAGGTTTTCTGTCACAGCTCCTGCCCTTTTTTTCTTTTATTGCTGTTGATGGTATAGTGGAAATGCACTTTTAAAACCTAATAAGCTGATCCAGTAGTAAAAATGAACATATTTTGCTTACACTTATTTAAAGTGAGTCTGCATAAAATGGGGAGCATTCTGAAATTGACTTGATCAACTTGAAAATATTGCAAATAAAGCAAGAAAATGTAAAAGAAAATGTGAAAATTCATGTTGATTTGTAATGCACAGACATCTAAAAAAAACCCAAAACACCAAACCACCACCACCACCCCCATTAATATAATTAATAAAGCCTTTGATTTAAAGAATGACTATTATTCCACAGATTGGACCACAGAGCCATAGCATATAGTTGAATATGCTGCAATTTTACTCACCGAAGATATTATCATTTTTGTAGCTGACCTGTGATAGGGAAAGAACCCACCCTGTAAAACCTCATAATACACACACAGGCAGTGCCTAGCAAGAATTAACTCCTCCTTTCCTTTTAGTTTAAGGTATTTTTCTTTCTGCAGAGGCAGAGTTTTTCAAACCATTTCACACCTGCGTCCTCAGCACGGCAGCGGTGTTCTGTGAGGGCCTGTGCTGAGCAGCTCTCAGGTTGCTGAACATCTGGTTAACTTTACTCAGACCAACAAGTACCATGCTTGGGGCTAGGATTTCAAATCCAGT